CTTATTTTCGGGGAGGTCTTATTTTGGGGGGAATGCCTTATATTTCAGTGAGAGGCAAAACTGTAAGTAGGTCTTATTTTGGGGGGTGTCTTACTTTCAGGGAAACAGGGTATCACCTGAACTGGACTGGGTACAAAGCATAAAGCCTTTAATAATAACCATGAATCAGTACTCTTTCAACCTCCTTTTGATGTTTTTAAGCCTGCCCCCACCCCAGCCCCCTCCATTCCCCAAGGCTATCCTGTTGGCTGCACTGGCAGCCCACTGCAGATCTGTAAGACGCTACGGGCTTCTTCCCAGGGCCTTGCCCACACCTCCTCCAGGCTGCATCAATCTTCACACGCCCTAGGGGGATCCTGCAGAAGTCCAGACTTCTCTTTGGTTCTGGCAGAGGCCCACTTTGCTATAATGCGGCGAAGGGAGGGAGGTCCCCCGAAGTTCCATCCCTCCTGTAGTGACAGTATCCAACGGAGAACAAGATGAACATGTTTGTAACAGCATGTCACTTTTCTCTCCTCTGCCTAACCGGAAAATCTTCACCTCGTACGCACAGAGAATATTGTCAAATGTAAGCTAACTTCACTCTAGAAAGGATGTGTCACGTTCCCTCAGATGCTACCCCTTCTCTGACCACAGCCTGTCCAGCGTTCCCTTGCAGTCTGGTTCAATAAACATACTCAGACAAAACACAAACAGCAGCTACTAAGCCTCTCTCCAATTGGAACCATTTGCAATTCTGATTTTAGGATTCCCCCCTTCTTCCCCTCACTATATATTTTTAGAAACTTAATAAGCTTCCCTCTCTTCTTCCTTTCCTTTGAGACTACATGTTTATAATTGTACAGAACAAAGCAATCAATCAACAAGGCTTGTCGTCTTTTCTACCCCTCCTCCCATCAAAAAAAAGTCCTAGAATCTTTGCAAACAATTTGACAATATCATCAAGTACATGTTTTGTCATTATCTGGGGCAGTATCAAGTTGGATGAGTATTAACAACGCAAAGTAGAATTCGTTCCTGTAAATTCCCCGGTGACGCAGTTATTGCCCCGCCTACTCAAGACAATTACAAAAGGCCAGGCAGCGTGACTCGGCCTTAGTTCTTCAGGCAAGGAGGGAGTCCTTGGAGCTGAAGTCAGCAAAGGTAGTGTCTTTATTATCTGTGTCTCTTCGTAAATGTTTTTGTTTTTCTCCTGGACTACTATCTCTCTAGCTACCTTCTCTGAAACAGTAGCCTCTTTCTTTCCTTTCTTGTCCCTCCTTGGTTTGTGTGTGAGCTAGAATCTTTCAGATCCAGGAAATGTCTCTCCTGGTCTGAAGGAGAACCGAGGTAAAGAGGAATTGGCAACTTAGAAGGGCATCCGTGAGAGCATCCAAAGCTTCCCTCCAGAGGATGTTTCTCTACCACGAATTATTAAGCCAAGAACTGAAAATTCCTCTCTCCCTCTCTCTCTCACACATGTGTAAGGCAAATACAGGTATCTCATTCTGGTGAAGGTTTTGGGTTTTGTTGTGTTTTTAATGTACCCAAACTTTCATCGAATGCCTACTACATCTAGTGCATGGGTTTGGGGTATGGAAGAGATACCAAGATAAATAAAACAGGTCCTCACAGGTTGATAATCCAGTGGAGGAGGCATTTATATATAAAAACAATGCAAGGAAGTTAGCAAGAAGAGGAGAGATGCTGAACGTGGGCTAATTCATTCAACCAAGTTGCCCAGGAAGCTGGCTGAGCTGACCGCTCAGGTGTTCTCTATTGCAGAAAATCAAGATGGCCCAAGTTCCTGACCTGTTTGAAGACCTGAAGCACTGTTACAGGTAAGAAATGGATTTTGTCTCTTAGGATTTCGTGGAGGGAGCCAGGCTCGGTCTTCTCAGGTTAGGAGTGAATCCCAGGCAGGTTCAGCTGAAGACTCAAAAAAAAAAAAAAAAAAATGGAGTTGGCAGAGAGACAACCATTCTGGAAAAAAGATTTTCTCAGTCTACTATGAGTCGGTAGCAACTCGGTGCCAGGGAGAGTCCTGAGCCCTCTGAGAAATTCAGCATCTACTTAAACACACAGCCTTAGTTGAGTTCACATACTCAGATACGGTCATGGATTTTCCTGGCCCGTTGGAGAAAGAAACCATCCTCAGGGAAACTTCTTAACCCAAGCAGGAGCAGAAGCTGACTGCACAGCAAATTGAGCAGGTGTAGGCACACCCTGTTCAGACATAACCGAAAGAAAAATAAATAAAAGTAGAAAGTATGGAACATTATGTATGTATGGATTGTGATAAGAGTTGTACAAGCCCCCAGTAAAATGATTAAACAAACGACACCCTCTAAAATCATAAAAAATAAATAAGTAAAATAAGCAAACATGGCATTCACACTACCTATCATATGTATTAACCCAAAGTAAACAAAACTATCCAAATGTTACCTAGATAGGTTTCCCGGTAGAAATGATTAGATGATTTATTGAAAGCATTAACATGTCATCTACTTGGTTTTTTTAAAAAGCTTTCCAAAGTATTTCTTTTCTCTTGAGAAGCTTAAAGTTCTTCCCTGAAAAACATTAATATTAAAAATGCTTTGAATTGTTGACCAAACCCATTTATTATAAGTAAAGTACAGATAAAGTCCAAGTCTCTCCTGACTATTACTAATTCCAATGTAGTAAGATATGAATTACTTTATATATGTGTGTATGGAAGTCCTTGGATTTTCAAAGATGACAGCAATGACCCTGTATGCATGTTACTCAAAGCGAACGTGGTCATTAAAATATGCTGCCAGTGATCGTAGTGAAATAACACGCAGGATTACATTCTGGTTATCTTGTTTTGACAGTGAAATTGAAGAATACACCTCCAACAATGATGACCTCTCTCAGAATCAGGTATGCAAATGACTGTAATGCTTCAGGAACTGCTTCTCCTACACAGCAGTCTCTCACAAGGAGAGAATACTAATGACTTAAGCCCTGGTGGTTTGGTAGTTAATATGTTGGGCGACTAACCACAGGATCAGCAGTTCGAAACTACCAGCCACTCCTCAGGTGAAAGATGAGGCTTTCTACTCCAGTAAAAGTTTACAACTTGGAAATCCACAGGAAGAGTTCTGACCTACCCCACAGGGTTGCTCTGAGTCTAAACCAATCGGATGGCAGTGAGGGTTTTGAGTCTGTAAGCCCTAGATACATTTGTTTTACCCTTACCGCAGTTCCAGAAAAGGGCCCTGATGCCACAGGGGGCTACTCTCCACGGGAGACAGATGAGGCTGTCTGCTCCCTTGAAGATTTAAAGTCTCAGAAACTCAATGGAGCACTGATACTCTGTCCTATAGGGTAAGGTGTCCAGATTTTAACATTAGTAAAGTGGGACAAAAGGGGGACACCATTGATAAAACTCATATCCTGGCGAAATAGCCACATGGCAGCTGAAAACAGTATATCCCCTAGCTTGTCGTGCATTCTTTCCAAAAATCAGGACTTTTTTAAAACACCGTGGGACGTGGGAAAAATTGTTAAAAATTGGGACTGTCCCGCCAAAAGCGGGACATCTGGTCACCTTACTATAGGGTTGCTATGAGTCAGAAAGGGCTTAGTTTTGGGTTGACGGGCCCACTGACATGCATTTCTTCATTTAAAGTGAGGCAAACTGTCTTTCTAAACTAGGAGTTGATGGCATTCCTCATGCTTGCCAGCTTTGCCCAGAACAGTGTTAAACTCTCCTGAAACCACAAGGACCGGAGACTCCTGGGTCAAGCTCCATCAGAACATGAATTATACCATCCTGACACTGTCCTTTCGGGCTGTTTCACCAAGGGCCCATTTCCTAAAGTAATACGTTGTAAGCCACTAGAGTCTCCAGTGGTCAGTGTAAGTCCTGACATGCATGTCTGTGGTACTGACTTCAAATGCTGTGTGCAGAGGAAACATTTCTCAAGGAGATGAACCTCCTGAAGAGGAACTAACGTGAAGACTGCTACTCACAAAGGCTCACATATTAGCCTATTGCATTGCACTCTCTCACTCGTGAGTGGTTGACATCGTCTTCAGAAGAGAGTAGGTCATCCTCGAGTCAGAGAAAGAGCCTTGGTGCATGGTGGTTATAGATTCGACTGCTAACCCTAAGGTCTACCTGCCACTGCTCAGGAGAAAAACCACGTCTTTCACTCCCATAAAGAATTACAGGGGAAATTCTACCCTGTCCTATAGCGGCTGCCTTGACTGGGGAGCAACCTAATGACAGGAAGTATGGGTTTTGAGACGAGGCAGAGAAATAGGTTCTCAGGAGAACCCAATTTCTGAGATGGATCGACCCAGTGCCTGCAACAACGGGTTCAAACATAACAAGGGTGGAGATGGACCGGATGGAGCCGTGTGTCCTTCGGCTGTACGTGGGTTCCGCTAGGAGACGGAACTGACTTGATCTGACTTGATCGCACCTCACGACATGAGTCAGAATCAAGGAAATGGCAGTGACGAGGGAAATTCTAGAAGAGGAAAAAAGCGGGGGTGGGGGGTGGAGAGAAGGGAAACGGTGAAGAGGAGGGATGGGAAGGAGGGTAGGAGCAAGGAGAAATGAAACAGGAAATGTCCGAGAGCCACCTGGAGAAGCTCCACACCAATGCTGTTCCTGCCCCTCCTGAAAGGGGCTCATGCCACTGGCGTGGCAGCTTCTCAGCGTCCTTTCCCTTCTTCACAGAAACCCTTCTATGATACGAGCTGTAGCCCCCTCCAAGATGCCTACATGGACGGATTCATATCACTGAGTAGTGCCGCTGAAATCTCTAAGACAGCCAGGTGTTCGTTCAAGGAGAGTGTATCGGTGGTGACAACCAAAGGGAAGGTGGTGAAGAAGCGACGCCTGGATTTCAATGAAACCATCACTGACGAAGACCTGCAGGCGATTGCCAATGATACAGAGGAAGGTAAGAAGCAAATCACAATCATGTCGTTGTTTACGGTTTTAAAAACAAATGGCGACGACAGAGTATAGGGAAAATTAAAACTCAGAGTCAGAGTAGCAGGAGGGGAACCAGGAATTAATCCAGTAATACAAAGAAAGGGGGGGGGGGTATTTTATTTAATGTGACCTGGGTGAAAGTTTACAAAGTAAGCTAAGTTCTCCATTCAGCAATTTACGGTGCCAGTAGTGGCAATCCCTCAATACACTCCTCCCCTTCCTCACTGGATTCTCCACTTCATTCACCTTTTTCCTCTCCCCTCTTGACTTCTGAACTTTGTAATTCCTCATGGGTGTTATTGTTCACTTGATAACCTGTCTGTGGTTTTTCTGGAAGGTGATAACCAGAGGTGGATGGCATTCCCCACACCAAGGGTGTCTAGGGGCTATAGTTTTAGACATTCCACTAGTTTCTATCAGACTAGGAAATCTGGTCTTCTTTAAAATTTTGTGTTTTGCTCCACAACGTTCTCTTACTTTGTCCAGGCCCTGCTATTGTGATCCTGGTCAGAATTGTGTGTAGTGGTGGCCAGGCACCATTTAGTGCTTCTGGTGTCAGGGTCGTGGAGGATCCTTTGAATGAATTGCTTTCTTACGTCTTTGGTTGGATTCACTGTTTTTGCTCCCGATGGGGAAAGACCAACAGTTGCCCCTTAGATGGCCACTTAAAAGCTTTTAAGACCCCAGTCACTGCTCCCCAAAGTAAGGCCTAGAACCTTGTCTTTGTGGATTCTGCTGTGCCAATTAATCTAGATGTGACCTGAGACTATGACCCCAAGTTCCCAAGCCCAGGGACTCATTCCTAAAAAGTGTTTGGTTGTGCCTAAGACATTTTCATGATTTTCCCCTACATACTCTACTGTATACACGGATATATTTGCAGCATACAATGTAGACCTGTAGTAGGTCTCATTCACCTTCTTATGTCTGTTCAGCTTACAGGTCTACTTATGTATCTACTCAAAGATTATTATTTTGTATTCCTCTTATTGTATGAGAACGTGTGTAATAGTGTTTAGCTTTGCTACTTTTAACTCTTGTGAACCTCTCAGTATCTTTGTTTTGGTGTATTATGCTGACCTCCTCCTTATTATAGATTTGCCTTTCCTTTGATCAAGTCAAAGCATATCTACTCTTATAGTGATTTTTCTTTGTTTCCTCAACCATCTTGATTACCATCATAGAAAGTTTCTTTCTGTGTGTAAACATTTCCTTGACTTTTTATAATAGTGATCTCATACAATAACTATCCCTTGTGATTGACATTTCACCCAGCAAATGTCCTCCATTGTGACTTGTTTTTCAGATGCATCACTATCCGTTAAGCTCGCATAATACTACATTGTGTACCATACTTTGTTAATCAGTTCATCTATAGATGGGCGGTTAGGTTGTTTCCACCTTTTTACTCTTGTGAATAATCTGATGACAATGATGTACGTATCTCCATTTGTGTCACGGCCCTTCTTTCTCTGGGATCTAGAGCAAATTGTGGGATTGTTATGGTTTGTGGTATTTCCATTCCCAACTTGTTCAAGAAATGCCATACCATTTTCCACAGTGCTTGTACCATATTATAGTCTCATCGGCCGTGCATAATAGCTACAGTCTCTCCATTCTCTTGCCAATATTTGTCATATTCTGTTGAGTATTTTTTGTTCGATTTTGTCTTATTTTGTTTTTAAACTTGGCTTTATTTCTGCGGTACGATGGTATCTCATTGTGGTTTTGATTTGCATCTCTCTAATGGTTAATGATCATGAGCATTTTTTCATGTTTTTTGGTCGCTTGAATGTTTTCTTTAGTAAAATGTCTGGCCATGTCCTCTGCCCATTTTTCAGCTGGGCTGTTTTCTTTATCTTTTAGAGATGTGTCCCTTGTCCAATATGTCATTCTCAAAAAATTTTCCCAGACTGGAAGTTTTTTTGTTTGGGGTTTTTGTTTTGTTTTGTTTTTTGCTTTCTTCTTTTGTCTCTGGGATTGTCTACATATAAGATCAGAGCATCTGCAAAATTTTATTTCTTCCTGACAATTTGTATGCCTCTTTTGTCACTTTCTTGCCTTCTTACTTTTATTAAAACGTCCAATACTATATTGAATAGGTGTTGTGGTAAGGAACACCCTTGTCTGTTTTTTCTTCGCAAGGAGGATGTTTTTAGTCTCTCATGTGAGAGTAATGTATACAAATAGAGAGAAACATAATGGAATTTTCCACAAACTTTTTGAAACACTTTCATATGCTCATATATTATCCCATTGCCTTTTTGCCTCCGTGGTTTTTAGTTTTATTGGTGCCCCTTTGTAAGTAATGATAGCTTTTTCTTGAACTGCTTTCCACTTTCTTAGGTTTTTGTTCATATTTCTTCCTTCTTTTTTCTGACTGATTCTCTAACAGATTGGTAACAAAGGCATTTTTTCTTTAAAAAAGCTGATTTTGTCTTCCATGAATTCAATTATACACTTTTGCCTTTACAATGTATTATTTATTTTCTAGATTTTAGCGTTAATCATGTGAGTTTATAGTTGTTATTTTGCATGGTTTTGCCTAGTTTGTCATTTTATGCTTCTATTGTTTCTTGTTATTCTTCTAGGATTTTATTTATGTCTTTCTTGATTTTTTTCTGTGCTCCTTGGTCTCCTAGAGGTAGATATAAACATATATCTTTTGAATTTTTTATCAGGTAGTTCCATTGCCATTTAGTCCTCGGGGAGTTTTTCTGGTTCTTTAATTTGATTATTCCCACAACCCATCCTGTCATGCTTCTTTGTGTGAATTGAAGTTGTCTGTTGTCTCTACAACATTGTGAAGATGCTGTATTTGGTTTTTCATATATAGCTTATATTATTAAGGAATTTTCCTTCCATTCCTATCTTCTTGAGTGTCTTCAATAGGAATTGGTGTTGGATGTTGTTGAATGCTTTTTTCACATCTATTGATATTATCATGTGGTTCTTATAATTTTTCATGTCAATGTAGTGAATGATACTAGTGGTCTTTCGTATGTTGAACCATCCCTGCATCCCTGGTATGAATCCCACTTGGTCATGATGAATTATTTGTTTAATATACTTTTGTATTCTATTGGCCAGTATTTTGTTAAGGATTTTTACATCAATGTTCATTAGGGATATCCAGCTGTAGCTCTCGATTCTTGTGGGATCCTTCCTGGTTTAGGTCTCAGAGTTATTCTAGCTTCATAGAAAGAATTCAGGAGTTTGCCATCTTTTTTCTATGTTCTGGAAGAATTTGTGTAGGATTGGTTTCAATTCTTCCCTGAATGGTTGGTAGAATTCTCCTGTGAAGCCATCTGGTCCAGGGGACGTTTTTGTTGGTAATCCCTTGATAATCTTTCCTATTTCTTCCTTTGCTATGAGTTTGTTGAGATTCTTGACGTCCATCAGGGATAGTCTAGGGAAGGATAGTTTTTCCAAGAATTTGTCCATGTTTTCCAAGTTGTTGAATTCACTGGAGTACAGTCCTTCACAGTACTGTGTAATTATCCTTTTGATTCAATTAGGATCTGTAGTAATGTCCTCTATTTCATTCCTCATCCTTGCTATTGAAATTTGTTCCCTTCTTTCTTTGGTTAGGTTTGCCAGCAGTCTGCCAATTCTGTTAATCCTGTCAAAGAACCAACTTTTAGCTGCACTAATTTTTTTCCATAGTTTTTCTTCTTTTACCTTTCACGAATCTTAGCCCTGGTTTTTATAATTTCTTTTCTTTTGCTATTAGTAGGATTGTCCTGTTAACTCTGCACTAATTGCTGTAAGTTTTGTGTCTGCATATCAATCATGTCTCTCTTCCTTTTTCATGTGTGCCTGTATTGCTATCAAACTTCCTCTGATAACTGCATTTGCTGTGTCCCAAAGGTTTTGGTATGTCACATTCTGATTCTCATTGGTTTCTAGAAACTTCCTGATTACATCTCTGATCTGGGCCAGTACCCATTCCTTTTGTAACAGAAAGTTATTCATCCTCCAATTGTTAGCCCTTATTCTCTTAATCGTTCTATTGTTGATTTCCAGCCCTATGGCATAATGGTTGGAAAGAGAAATTTGTATGACCTCTATGAGCTTGAATTTACACAGATTCAATTTTTGTCCCAACATGTGGCCTGTCTTAGAGTATATGCCATGTTAACCTTGTTAAGCTGCTTTCCCTGTGATCTTTCTTTCTCAGAGAGTTGTGTATTAAAGTCACCTACTATAATTGTTGAGCCTGTGATAACGTTTTTCGTCTTTTGGGATGTTTGACAAATTCCACGAGTCTCTCATTGGGCATATATATATATTTATTATGCTCACTGGTTCTTGGTCTACTGTACCCTTGAGCATGATATAGTACTCCTCCTTATCTCTTGTTATGGCTTGCACCTTGAGATCAATTTTGTCCAAGATTAGGGTTTCAACCCCTGCTTTTTTTGAATTGCCGTTTGCTTGGTATATTTTTCTCCTGCCTTTGATTCTCAGGCTATTTTTGTCTGTAATCTCGAGATGTGTCTCCTGTAGGCAGCAGATTGACAGGTTGTGTTTTCTAAGCCAGTCTGCTAGCCTCAGCCTTTTAATGCCTAAGTTCAATATTCAGGGTTATTACATCCATCTGTGGACTCTGTGATGTCATCTTATACCTTTTGTATTGGGTGTTTTCCTATCTCCCTTTCTTATCTGTGTGTGTGTGTGTGTGTGTGTGTGTATGTGTGTTTCATTCTTGACTTCTTTCCACACTTAAGCCAATGCTATCTTGGGGTCTGTTTTCTCTTTGTTGCCCTCTTGGTGGAGTTGTACTATGTGGTGGTCTCTTTCTTGTGCTCAGTGAGTGCTGTTATTCTGCCCATACTAGGTTGGCAAGGATCTTTTGTAGGGCTGGGTTTCTTTTAACGTATTCTTTGAGTTTTTCCTTATCTGGGCATATTCTTACTTCTCCATCTATCTTGATAGATACTTCGGCTGGATAAATTATTCTTGGGTTTGTGTTATTTTCCTTCAATTTTTGGAATATGGTACTCCACTCTCTCCTCTTCTTCAGTATCCATTGATAGGTATGAGCATGTTCTTATTTGGGAACCTTTGTTTGTGATTGCTTGTTTTTCCCTAGCTACTCTCATGATTTTCTCCTTTTCCTCAAAGTTGGATAGCTTAACTATTATGTGCCTTGGTGACTTCTTCTTGGGATTCGGTCTAGCTGGTGTTCTTTCAGCCTCCTGAATGGTTGCCTGGTTTTCATTCATTAAGCTGGGGAAGTTTTCCTCCAAGAATTTTCTCGCTATTTTTGCAGTTGACTTCTTCGTGTGTCTTCCTCTGGTAATCCAATTATTCTGATGTTGTTCCTTTGCTACTGGTTTTTGGTATCTCATCCCTAAGCTCTTGCATTTCCCTTTGATGTATGTACTTTATCTCCTCTATCATTTCTTCCTTTTTCTGTATTATTTCCCTCCTATCCTGTATGACCCCACGCAACATTCTGAAATATTTTTTCTGTGGCAGATCAAGGTCTGCTTCTTCTATGCACATTGTTAGGTTCAGGACTTCTTCCAACATTGCCTTTTGTTTCTCCTGTTTTTTTGTTGAGGTCGTTGGGGTTGATTGCTGTATGGGTTGTATAGTTCTAGAGGAGACCAACGCCATTTTGCAGAGAGTTGAAGAGCACGTGGCTCTCTCTGGGGAACTCGTAGGAATGCTTCTTCGAACTTCCTGCAGCTAATTGCACTATGGGACTGGCCTACTGCTTTATCCTCCTGTGACTTCCCTCTTTCCATAGCCAACCATTATTCTATTATTTGGAGAGCAAGCTGTATGGTCCTCTCAGGGGACAGTTGGGTGGTTGTGGACCCATGAGGATGGTACTGCACTGGATGATCTCACAGGAAGCCGTGGTGTTCTGGCCCACAGCAGCATGAGGCACCACAGAAGATACGCAGGGGTGCTTGCTGCAACACGATGCCACAGAAGGCAGGTGTGTGTGCCCACTTTGGTGTAGAACACCATAGATGGTGAGAGGAATTGCTCTAGTCAGCTATCACCACAGAGGTTAAGCAGAGGATCCTGCAACAGTGTGGGGCACTTGAGAGTGTTGGCAGAGCTGCCTTTGACTGTGCAAGGCACTACAGCAGGCGGGAGGAAGTTCCCTTGGTCATGTGGGAACACACACTGGATTTCCCCTGAAGGAAGGTGGGCAAGTTTTCCCCAGCTGTGTGTTACACTGCAGAGGGCAGGCGGGCAGGATTCCCCCAGGAGGAATGTGGGCAGGCTTCCCCCCGTCCCCCATGTGTTAAGTTGCAGAGGGTGGAGCTCCCCCAGCTGGGTGGAGGAGACGTATAATTGCCCTAGGCTAAGGTGAGTGGCCTGGAGGTCATGTAAGACCTGTGTGGCCTATGAGAGAAAATAGAAAAGCAAAACAAAACAAAAACTGAACCTGCTGAGACTGTGGGGTGAACGACAGATGAGAGAGAAACAAAAGTAAAGATATAGCTGAGCCCCAATCACTTAACCGTGGGTCTGGAGGGATTTAAACCCTGCCCAGAGATGACGGCAAGCTGTGGCTGTGTGAAGTAAAGGCCTTAGGCCAGCCAAAGAAGTCCATCTCTGGCTGAGACTGTAGCAGGGCTAAGGTTAAGCATTAGCTGGCCTCCACAGTGATAAGCCAAAAGCCCACAGCTCCACAAAACCTAGTGGATCTGTGCTACTTATCTTTCTGGTGCTCCTCCTGTGACCCGGCTGCATGGAATTTCCCTCTCAGTTGATCCCCTGCTCTGATTTCTGTGGAGTCCCTCTGATATGTGTTAGTCAGTCGCCATCTTGGCAGAAATCCCAAATCTTCATTTTAATCAGTCTTTATTTCCTTATTAGAGATTTTTAGAGTTGGAATTGCTCAAAGGCCTGGTGGTTTGTGAAGCTCTTGCTATGTGTTACTTTCCATAAAAAATAGCAGCATTCTCAGTGACATGTACAATACTTAATTCACTTTCTTTTCTGAGCGCATTCATTTAACTATATAGATGGGGGATCCTGCTAGTCTTCCTGATTACTTAGAAATCTCCAAACAGTCGAAAATTAGCCTACAGCTAATTTCACTGTGGAATTTGCCTACCACTTTATCCTCCGGTGGCTTCCCTCTCAGGGGAGTGCCCCAGAAGGCTGATGGGTTGCCTGCTTTGGTGTAGAACACCACAGATGGTGGGCGGAATTGCCTTGATCAGGTAGATCACTGAAGAGGTTGGGCAGAGGTTCCTGCAGCAGCTTGGAATGTTAGTGAGTGTTGACCGAGCTGCCTTAGGCTGTGTGAGTCTCTAAGATAGGCGGGACGAAGTTACCTCAGTCACATAGGATAACAGAGGAAAAATAGGAGCTCCCGCACACACAGGCAGGAATTCCCAGGTAAGAAGTTGGGCAGAGTATCCTCTGGTGGAGGTCGGCTGGGGTTTCCCCAGCCTCTGGTTAGCTGCACATGGTGGGGCTCACCTAAATGGGTGGGGGGCAAGTGTAAATTCCCTAGGCTAAGGGGAGTGGTCTAGAGGTCAGCAGTGGTGTGTGAGAGAACAGGAAAGAGACAAAGAGGGTGAAAAAAACTAAGCCTGCTGGGACTGTGGGGGCATAGAGAGAAGAGAGGGAAACAAAAGTAACAATATAGCTGAGCCCTGACCCCTGACCATGGAGCTGCAAGGGTTTAAATCCTGCCCTGAGGTGGTGGCAGACTTTTGAGATTAAGTGCAGGCTCCAAATGGTCCCAGCTCCATCCGAGACAGTGATGGGGCTAAGGTCAAGCCCTAGCCAGGCTCCACTGTGGTAACCCAAAAGCCCCCAGCCCCTCAAAACCTTTGGAACTGTGCCTACTTATCTTTATGATGTTCCTCCTGCATTCCAGCAGTGTTGAATTTCCCTCTTAGTAACTCTTCCTGGCTGATTTCTGCGAGTCCCTCTGGTATGTGTTACTCAGTCACCATCTTCCGAGAAGTTGGTCTTTTCCTTCTTATGCATTATTTGTATTTCTCTCTGTGTACTATTATGTTCTTAAACCTTACCACCTTAGTGTGATTTTGTTTTTTATTGTTAGAGGTAAAGGGTATTTGGGGAGTAAATAATGAAGATGGGAGTGGGGAGGGAGCACTAGAACAGATTGTGAAAGCATAGCTCAGCCTAAAGGCGATTTAACCATAGGCGGTGTGGTGGGGGGAATGGTCTAAAATTGATGTAGCGTGATTGTACAATTCTCCTTGATATGATTGGATGATTGAACTATTAAATTACATGATATGTAAATTACTTGCCAATAAAACTGTTGGGGGAAGAAAAAAATTTTTTCCAGCTTCAGAATTCCTATGGTTGTAGTTCTCCTCTGCCTGTAAAGGATTGCTATGCGTCAGAATCAACACGGCAGCAGTGGAGTTTTGTGGGTATAAATCATCTGTGTTTGTACTCAAGTTATTGATCTGAGCTTTTCATATTGGCTTTAGAAATTATTGAGCCCATGTCAGCAATGAATACATTCCAGAATAAAAGGAACTACTATTTTTCAAACATCCTCATAAGTCACTGCATCCTGACTAACATCAACTCCCAAAGTTTAACTAGAGACCCATCTAATTCAAATCTCCGGAGTATTGCATTACAGAATCTGGATGATGCAGGTATTCTTCTTGTTGTTGTTTCTGACTACTTTCAGGTTTCTACTCTTAAGTAATAAATCTCTTCTAAACAGCTGGCTTCATAGGATTCTAGAACTATATGAAGCCCATCACTCCTACACAACTACCAAGAAAGGACATAAGTTTTTCGCCAGATTGAGATTCCCTGTCTTTGAGAGCATTAGCTGGAAAAATAAAGCTTTCAGATATACTACTTTATTTTGATCTCTCAAATATTCTTATCCTTAATGATAAAGATGAGGAAATTGAGTCTGAGAACTATTGCGTGACTTTTTCCAATTTACCTAAAAATCAATGAAGAGCAGTCATTCTTCACTGGAAAGACTGCTGATCAGACTTACAAAACACACCAAATTAGAAAACTCATTTTTCTTTTTGAGAGCATAATTATGAGGTGAAACAATCAATAACCTGCTATAAATATGAGCGAGTTTCCAAAAGTTCATGAGAAAGGGGAGTTAAAAGATAGCTAAATGTTTCATGAATTCTTTTAAGCACTTTTAGATGATCTGAAAGATAAGATGCAGTATCAGGAAAACATGTCATATAGATTACCACAGTGGACATATTTTAGCTCCAGGACATGCAAGTCGTATATAACATTATTTTGGAGGCCCAAAGTGGTAACTTTAGAATAAATAAGCAGAGCTTTCTGATTAGATACACTGAAACTAATAATATTTTTAATCTATGACATTTACAAATTACTCTGGTTTATTTCCCTACTTAATATTATCTCACACAGGAGTCCCACATTTGGCACCACATGTTGTTGTTGTTGTTGTTAGGAGCCATTACCCAAAGTGACTGCACAACAAAACGAAACCCTGCCCCATCCTGCACCATCCGCGCCACCGTTGCTCTGCTCGAGCCCATGCTGGCAGTCACGGTGCCCACCCATTATCTGAAGAACAGCCTTTAGTGTTTTCCTTTTACTTCAGAGCCACATGTCCGTGCCAAAAGTGTTGCATGTGGCTCTTAACCCACAGTTTGTGGACCCCTGTACTCAAATATTTTATCATGTTTCTATACTGGCTCCATGAATTTGCTCAAAGTAACTCTGCTGCGATTATCTTTATATATATTATTGTCTGTTTTTCCCTTTGGGGTTATTTCTTTGAAGAATCTGCCAAAGTAGAATTTCTGGGTTAATAGACCTAAATCATTTTACAGTTCATAGTAAACATTATTCTTTAAGGAGAATGTTTAAGCATTACTAGCAACATATGAGTGTATTCACTTCCAGAATTCTCTTCATTTTAGGTTATTATGAACTTGTGACCAAGCAAATTGTAGGGTCAGGAACTCAGACAACGTGCCATTGTCTGATAAGCATTCGACTGCTAACCAAGAGGTCGGTAGTTCAAACCCAGCAGCCACTTAGAGGGAGAGAGATGAGACAATTTTCTCCCATAAAGATTTACAGCCTCAGAAATCCTATATAGGTTTGCTGCTATGAGCTGAAATAGACTTTTGGGGCAGTAGTTTTGTTTATTTTTCTATCAACTTTTTTTTTGGTGAGGGATGAGGGATGGGAGTAGTATAACCTAATAATAGAGTTATACAAGATTGGAGGAATTCTTATTCATCCTGCAAACATTCATTCTGCATAAAAAATCTAAGTGCATAGAATTGCATCAGACAAGCATTTACTGTCTTGTAGATTTGGCCGACACTGTAAAGGATCCAAAGCTTTATAAATTCTATCTGTGACTTCCAAAAGCTAGCTAGAAGCCTAACCATCCACACACAGTAGCTACTTAAACATATCATTGTACGCAGATATGATAGATTTACTTTCTTTTTTGCCTTTTCTCTTCCCAGAGAGATTCGACATAGCTGGTTATAAACCAGCAGATGATATTTACAGAATTCCTGTGCTTTTAAGAATCTCAGATACTCAACTATTTGTGTCTGGCCAAGGTGAAAATGAACCAGTGGTGTTAAAGGTTAGTGGTCCGCAGTCTCAAATGTGCTCTCATTTACATCACCAACATTTTTAAATGATCCCAATGAACAGACCCTCCTAATATGGTGACCTAGCCCTCTTTCCTTCCTTCCACACTCCTACATGCGTATCCCCACATCCTGCTTCTTGCCTACCCAAAGGCAATCCTGAGCAGGTTCTGTGAGAGAGTAAAATGGAGGTGGCAAGAATTCAGAAGTAGTAAACCACTATCTTTTTCCTTTCCCTACTGGATCCTCGACCACTTATCTGAGTTTGTCTATCACAGCCTATATTTTGCTGTGATGCTGGAAGCTATGTCACCAATATTTAAACACCAGCAGAGGCACTCAAGGTGAATGGGTATCAGTAGAGCTTCTGGAATAAGAACAGAGCATCAAGAAGGAATAAACTTAAGTCCGATGCTGTGGGATTGACCAATGAAACCCTTGTGGATAATGTAGAATACTGTCAGTTTATAGTACCAAAAGATGTGTATCTCAGGTTAGAAGGCATTCAAACACATGATTCTTCTGAAAGTGGGGTTGACCAAAATGACATGGGTGGAGTGAAGATTCTGAGACCTTCATTTGTGAAGAGAACAGGGCTCAAATAAGAGGAAATAGCTGCAAATATCCCTCGTTTACCAGAAGGTAGAATGTACGGAATATAAACCTAGGAAAATTGGAAGTCATCAAAAAGGAAACAAAAGCTTATTTTCGCTGCCTAAGCAGCTGTCATCAAGGGCTCACATGGGTGCTCTTGGAAAGAGTCTTTCCCGTTGGCGCTGCCCTGTCACTGCACTGTCCCCTGCCACCTGTCTGAAGTTGACTTTCAATGACACGAAGGACCAGATTCACAAACTGGCCAAGAAGGGGCTGACTCCTTCCCAAATCGATGTGATCCTAAGTGATTCACCTGGCATCATCGCACATGCATTTTTTGACAGGCACTAAAATCCTGAGGATCCGTAAGTCCAAAGGACTTGGTTCTAACCTTACTGCGGATTTCTGCCATATGATTGAGAAAGCTGTTGCTGTTGGAAAGCATATTGAGAGGAACAGAAAGGATAAAGATTCTAAATCCTGGCTGATTCTGATTGAGTCGAATTCAGCTATTTGTTTGATACTACACCAGACAAAAATAGTCCTCCCTCCTAAATGGAAGTATGAATCATCCACAGCTTCTGCCCTGGGTGCATAAACCTGTGTATGTACTTGAGCAATAAAATAATTGTTTAACTACAAAAAAGAAAAAAGAAAAGAAACATAACTAAAGATTTATATCATAGACATTAGTGAGCTAGAATGGACTGGTATTGATCATTTTGAATTGGAGAGTCATATGGTCTATTCTGGAAATGATAAGTTCAAGAGGAATGACATTGCATTCAACAAAAAGAATATTTCAAGATCTATCTTGAAGTAGAAAGCTGTCTGTGATAGGATAATATCTATTTCCCTACAAATAACTCCAGTTAATGCAACTATTACACAAATTAAACAAGAAGCACTAAAGCTAATGATGAAGAAACTGAAGAATTATGCCCATCTGAATTCCACCAGTCTCAAGTTGATCAAACATGCATTCAAGATGAGTTCATAAGTATTAGCCATTTGAACAGGAGAGTTGGAAACAAAGAGAACGGACTGGTAGTTGGACAGTAGGGTCATGCTAACAGGAAGGTAAAGATGACATGATAGAATTTTGCAAGAACAATGACTTCTTCATTGCAAATACCTTTTTTTCCACAACATTTATGGTAACTTTAGACATGGACCTCACCAGATGGAATACACAGGAATCAATTTGAATACCTCTGGGGGGAAAGATGATGGAGAAACTCAATATTAGCAGCCAAAACAAAATAGGGGCTGACTGTGGAACAGATCAATTACTCATATGTAAGTTCAGGTTAAAGCAGAATTAAAACAAGTCTGCAAGAGCCAAAATATGGGCTTGAATATAATACATTATCTGAATTTCCAGAGCTGCTTTGGAACAGATTTGACCCCTTAAACACTAATGATCAGAGATCTGACAAGTTGTGGAAATAAGATCACAAACATCACACATGAAGAAAGCAGAGTCATCTGAAAGACAAGAAAGAAGGAAAAGATCAAAGTAGATGCCAGAAGAGACTTTGAACTTACTCTAGAATATTTAGTAGCTAAAGCAAATGAAAGAAACAATGAAGAGTTGAACAGAAAATTTCAAAGGATTGCTGGAGAAGACAAGGTACAGTATTATAATGAAATGTTGTATCCTTTCACCATACTTATTCAATCTGTATGCTGAACAAGCAATCTGAGAAACTAAACTATACGAGAATAACTTGGTATCAGGATTGGATGAAGGTTTACTAAGAATCTGTGATGTGCAGATGACACACACAACCTTGCTTGCTGAAAGCAAGGAAGACTTGAAGCACTTGCTGAAGAAAATTTAAGATTGAAACCTTCAGTATAGATTGCAACTCAATATAAGGAAAACCCAAATCTTCCACTAAGCCAATAGGCAACAAAAATGGGGGGAGGGAATTAAAGTTGTCGAGAATTTTATTTTGCTTGTATCCACAATATGCTCATGGAAGCTAGAAGTTGAGATCAAATGGCATATTACATTGGGTAAATCTACTGCATGAGACATTTTTAGAGGGTTGTAGAGCAAGGATGTCACTTTGGGGACTAAAATGTGTCTGATCAAAGCCATGGTATTTTCATTCACCTCATATGCATGTGAAAGTTTGACAATAAATAAAGACCAACATATAAAGATGCACTTGAATTATGGTGCCGGTAATAATATTGAAAGTACTGTGAACAGCCAGAAGAACAAACAAATCTGTCTTGGAAGAAGTACAGTCAGATTGGTCCTTAAATGGAAGATGACACGACTTCAGTTCGTGTATTTTGGACATGTTGTCCAAAAGATATGAGTCCCTGGAAAAGAATGTTGTGTTTGGAAATGAAGAAGGTCATCGAAAAAAACACAAAGACAGAGCGGAAGACCCCCAACAAAAGGGACTGACCCACTGACTGCAGCGGTGGCTCAAACATCATAACAACAATTGCAAGGATGGTGCAGGACGGAGTGGTGTGTTGTTCTGTTGCACCTAGGGTCATTCTGAATCAGGACCGACTCAACAGCAACAACTTGATCCTATGCACCTCCCATCCATCCATGGGCATTCATGTATGCAATCATTCTTTCCTGATGGCTACTGTCTAACCTACATGGTACAAGCCACTCGGGACAAGGAGCATGCCCTCTAAGAAACTCAAATAAGCCAACTGATATCCAAGAAGATAAATCATATACCAATGGGTACATAGCAAAAGTTACAAACCAAAACTCAAATCCAACCTTCTGGCTCCAGTGCCTCTCTTTATGAGGTCCAGCAGTGTCCTTCATCCCCCTAGCCACAGTCTTCTTCCCCTTCATATACACAACATATTGTCTTGTTTATTCTATTTAAGAGTCACCTGAGCCAACTAGGATTTATAAGGGTGCATTTGGTTTTCTACCTGGATGAAAGGAAATGAAAGTCTACAGAATAGTGTGGTACCTTCATTCATTCATTCAACAAACATTATTTATCGAGAGCTTTCTATTTTTCAGACATAGTAGTACTAATAGCCATGTAGACAGTGCGAAGCCAAAATCCTTAGCCTTATAGAATTTTGTTTCTGGAGTGAGATTAGAGGGGAGCAACACAGACAATCTAAACAGAAAAGGAAGGAAGGAAGGGTAGGAAGGAAGGAAGGAAGAAGATACTGTAAAGAAAATGAACACAGTGCTGAGAGACAGAAGACTAGGAGAGCGCAAGAGCAGGTCTCCCAGAAAGATGAGGGCTGATAGGAGGGAGCGCACCAGGAAAGAGAGCACAGAGACTTGAGGGCAGGCCCAGGGCTTAAAGACCTGCTTCAACAATAAGAGTGGGATCCTTGGTGGTATAGTGGTTACTCATTGGGCTGCAATGCACGTGTTCAGCAGTTTGAATCCATCTGCAGCTCATTGGGCTGCAATGCACGTGTTCAGCAGTTTGAATCCATCAGCAGCTCCTCAGGAGACGCACTGGCTGTTTTCTACCGGCACAAACAGTTCCGGTCTCGGAAGCTCATAGGGGAGTCACTGTGCGTCAGCATCAACTTGATGGCAGAGTTTGGTTTGGTTTCTTGGTCAACAACAAGGAGGAAGGCTCTTGGAGCTGGGCGTTATGAGAAAGAAGATAAACAGTGGCTAGTGCTTGTGGGACCCTGTATTTGGATTTCATTTGAGGTTACAATGAACAGGCAATAACGGGTTTCAAACAGGACTGTGTCTTATCTTCTGGAATATTACATAAAATGGGGACTAGATCGCAGGAAACCGCAGGCACGCCCATTGGGAAGCTTCAACAGTAGTCAAGGGGATGGGGAGGGGAATAGGTCACAGAACTGGATGTCTTTGAGAGAGAAAACCAATGGGGTGTGTGGGGGGAGGGGAAAGCAGGACAGTGCCCTTCATGAGCAGGGAATAACCAGGAGAGGACTGGTTTCAATCTCTCATTCACTGCTATGCAGTCAATGCTTGCCTCCTAGCGAGCCCCTGTGGGTTTCCAGGCCTGACTGTTTAGGGCACTAAGAAAGCCCAGTCTTTCTCCAGGAGAGTTGCTGGTGATGTCAAACTGCCGACCACACCTTAGGGACATAAAATCTTTGTTGTCATTAAAAACTTCAAGAATACCTTTTAAAAATATGTGCACGCTCTAGATTAAAAAGATTAGGGAAGAAGAATCTTAAGTCATTGGGATATCTGAGGCTGCTGTCACTCAGTGCCGTGATGCATGATGTGCCTCTCCCCCACCCCACCCCCACGGGTTCCCTCCAGTGCCAGACTATACAGAATCCTTAATAATGATCCTCAGCAATCTTAGTCATAGATTAGTAGGTGATAAATATAATTGTGAATTGCTTAAATGTAGCATTTGTTGGATTATATGAATAGTAACAAAAAATTGTTTTGTACAATCTTTCCCCCATTGAATTACAACATTATTAGGCAATGTGTCTCGTGACGAACGATTCTCCAGGGATTGAGCTTGCTGTTTCTGGCATCGTCTTGTTCTCTAACGAAACTCTGTTCTCCTTATCATAGAAGATGCCTGAGATGCCCAAAGTCGTCCCAGAGGACAGCGACCTTCTCTTCTTGGTGGAACGAGTCGGTAATCACAGCTACTTCAGATCAGCTGCCTATCCAGATTTGTTTCTTGCCACGAGGGATGAAGGCCTGGTGCACCTGGCAAGGGGGTTACCCTCCATCATTGACTTCAAGCCTCCCGAAGCCTACGAAGTGTGACGTGATGACCCTCCATATGTACCATGTACATACAGTGTAACTCTTATCATTTGCTGAGCATATGCTGAGCTTTCGTAATTCTCAAGGAATATTTACCCTCTTTGTAAGAGAGACAGCAAGGTCTAGTGAAACCAACACTAACATACCACATTGCTGTTTGTTATTTAAAGAACACCCTGTACTTTGCAAAGTATCGATTATTTTCATTATTATTCTTTATAACAATTTTGAAAAGACCATGGATGCCAGAAAGACTCGACCCGTATTACAGACGGCTTAATTGAGGCATAAAAACCCACCGCTGTAAAAGCAATTCTGATTCCTACTGACTGTTGAGGACAGAGCAGAACTGCTACCTCAGTTTCTGGGACTGTAATGTTTGCAGACTACCTCATCTTTCTCATGTCGTTCAGTTAGCAACTTCATGCTGTACCGAGAGCATCTGAGGCAGAGAGAACTGAAAAATACACACAGGCCGTTCGATGACAACGTACGGGCTCAAGGTTTCAGTCCAACTGCCCGCCTTCTGCTTTGAAATTGCTAGTGGGCCCTTGATGACATAGCATAAATTTCTGGGACCTGTGCTTCATCCTCTTCAAAAATGACGGGAATGGTCCTGTCTCCTTCCTACCTTGACAGTTTTTTATGTCAATCAGGTGGGTCATTTTGGTAAAATACTTTATAAAGCTGAGTCTCAAGAAGAAAGCAAAGCACGCCATGGTCTTTTAAACTATTATTTATATATTTAAACCCACATGTATGTATGTATTTATAAATATATTTTAAGATTATATGGTATTATGATATTTATGCAGTTCCTTGTCTGAAAGTGATCAGACAACCTCAACAACAGTTCACACTGTTGTCTAGGCCCAGAACTGACTAGGTTTGGATATTTGCACTGGAGTATTTTGATCCCAGTGATGTTTTTCATAAGGTTTGCATTCTAGTAGCTGGAATGTTTTTAATTATTATAAGAAATTTAAACTAATTCACTTTTGTACCAGCTGATGATTGAACCATTCTGTTGCTGTTTCTGCCCTTGACCATACTTTGGTACTCTTGCGTCATTCCGTTCTAATTGCAATCAACTCCTACTATTTAAACTGAGATGAACTTAACTTGGCAAGCATGAGGCCACTGGTTTCTAAACTTCCTTTTCTGCATTGTGATCAATGCTTCAAAGTTTCTTCTAGGTCCTAAAACTTGTTGTCATCCCACAATGATACATGATCATCATTAATAATGTGTGGCATGATCCATTGCTCATCATAATAGAATAAAATGTATAACAAATACAACACAGTGTTCATCATTATTTTACTACATGGTCATTGGTGACTGGTAAAAATTCACATAAATAACTAAAATCAGTATTACCTTTACAAAGCCAAACCAAGATTTTTGGGGTGTTCTCTCCACTTTGCATAAAAGACAGTAAGAGCAATATTCCCAGATGAGTTTAAAATTTACATTACACCTGTACAATGCACATGTGCATCTATCCATACAAATACACACATGCAGAACCACATTTAAAATCTGCAATTACTAGATTCAGCTTCCAAATGAACAAGGGTCTCCAGAGCCACTGGACCCGGGCTACTACAACCCACCATCTCTCTTACCTGATTGAACCCCAGGCACTGATCAAGAATAACTGGCTCTATGCTGCGAATGGAGCGTATCAGTAGATTTGCCTTCTACTCAGCTCCTGTTGTTCGTGTGCCCAGTCACTTGAGTTTAATCTGTACAAGTCAACAATTCATGAATTGCAGGTCATTGATGGCTTATACGCATACAATTCCCTTTTCTCAACAGTATTTTAAATTCTAAGGGATCCTCAAACTTTTTAAACGGGGCCAGTTCACTGTCCCTCAGACCCGTTGGAGGGCCGGACTATAGTTTTAAGAAAAACTATGAACAAAAACCTATGCACACTGCACGTATCTTATTTTGAAGTAAAAAAACAAACGGGGCAAAAACACCCCGCGGGCCGGGTAAATGTCCTGGCGGCCGCATGTGGCCTGTGGGCCATAGTTTGAGGATGCCATACCATTGGCTAAACTAATGATGCTTTCGATGTGTAGTGATTAAGAATTAGGCTGCTATGTCACAAGGTTGGCTATATAGCCCCCCACCCTGAAGGGGACAAATAACAGAAATGTGGGTGAAGAGAGACAATGGACAGTGTGAGAAACAAAATAATAACAATATACAATAGATCAAGGGTTCACAAGGGTGGGAGGGTGGGGGAGGGGGGAGGGGAAAGAGGAGCATATACCAAGGGCTCAAGTAGAAAATGTTTTCAAAATGATGATGACAACATATATACAAATATGCTTGATACAATTGATGTATGGAATGTTATAAGAGCTGTAAGAGCCCCCGATAAAATGATTTTTTTAAATTGGGTTGCTAACCTCAAGGCCAGCAGTTCACAGCCACCAGCCAGCTCTGCAGGGGAAGGATAAGGTTTTCTACTCCTCTGAAGACCTGCAGGCTCAGAGACTCAGGGGAGTCGTTCTTCCCTGCCCCACAGGGTCGCTGTGAGTCAGCACTGACTTGATGGCAGGGGAAGCAATGCTCCACGGGGTTGATTGACAATGTTCTCTAACATCAAATAGACAACTGGACATACCTTGCAGAGGGGGAGTGGGGAGACGAGTCACTTAGGGTCCAGTATAGCAATAATGAAGCCCACAACTTTCCTCTGGTTCTTGAATGCTTCCTCCCCCCAACTACCAGGACCCCAATTTTGCCTTGCAGACCTGGTTGGACTAGATGATGCACAGCGGTACAGACGGGAATTGGGAACGCAGGGAATCTAGGACAGAGGAACCTCTCAGGACCAGGGGTGACAGTGGCGATACCAGGAGGGAAAGGGGATGTAGTAGGGGGGAATGGATCACAGGGAGCTACGTGTGGCCTCCTCTCTGGGGGACGGACAGCGGAGGGGTGGGTGAAGGGAGACGCCGGACAATGTAATATAAGATACAATAATAATTTATAAATTATTAGGGGTGCATGGGGGAGAGGGGAGGAGAAAGGGAAGGGGAGGGGGGAAAAAAGGAAAATTAGAGGCTAGCGAATTTTGGGAATGATGAGGGCAACAAATGTATAGATGTGCTTTACACAATTGATCTATGTATTGTGATGAATTGTATGAGCCCCAATAAATTGATTAAAAAAAAAAAAGAAAAAAGAAAAGAAAATGATGGCAGCATATGTGCAAATGTGCTTGACACACTGGAGGAGTGTATGGACTGTGATAAAAGATGTAAGAGCCCCCAATAAAAGTATTTTTTTAAAAGAAAGAAAATAATAATAATTTCTAAATTATCAAGGGTTCACAGAGGGTGGGGGAGGAAGGGAGGGGGCATAAGGAGCTGATACCAAGGGCTCAAGTAGAAAGAAAATGGTTTGAAAATGATGATGACAGCATATGTGCAAATGTGCTTGATACAATTGATGGATCGATTTTTATAAGAGCTCCCAATAAAATGATTTATAATAAAAAATGGTTGCGTGATCATCACTACAATCAATTTTAGAGCATAAGCTTCTTCCTTGTACTCATTATTATTAGCTCCCCAGCCCCTCTCCCCTGCCATAACCCCAAGAAATTGTTAATTCAGTTATCACCCCTATAGAATTACCTATCCTTGGTTTCAAGCACACAAAAACAATAACAATGACAAAATAAAACACAGGAAAACCTCCGTTGAAAAGATAACAGAAAATAATAAAAACTAGAACAAATTTCAAATGGGTTCAAAGGGGAAACAAATGATGAGTTGTTAAATTTTAGCCTAATGACATCTGCATTTGCCCACTTTCCAATGCGGTCTGTCTGGTTCCATTTCTACAAGATGTCCAGCACAAGCAGATCGTCGATTGCAGTTGGCAGAGGTTAGAGAAGAGGGAAATAAGAGTGAATGATGAATCAGGCTGTGGCTGCCTTTGGGCTGATCAGACAGTTATGGACTCAGACGATGGTGGTGGTGTCACAACCGTGGGAATGTCCTTCATATCACTGGAGTCTGTGTTTTCAAATGGTTCAAATGGCAACCTGGATGCGTGTTTTACCACAATGGCAAACTGATCAATGGCAGGCTATTATAAATGTGGCCTTAATTTAGCAAGAGGCCTTGTTTCAATGCAACAACGCACCTTCGTTCTTTTTCATGAAGCAACCTACATGCACATAAATAGGTATAGACACGTGTGGGTTTTCTAAAATTGAATTGTGCACTTTTAAGGGATGAAATTGTATATATGAATTATAGCTCAATAAAATTGTTGTATCTAAGAAGAGAGAACGTAGGAGAGAGGTCAGTTTCCAAGAAGAGTATGTAAATCGAAAGGAAGAAAACCAGTGTGAGTTCATTGCAGGGAGCAAGGGAGAAGTGTAGCACTAGGTGGGAGATTGACAACATGACTTCTAAAATGGAAATCCAGTCAGCCACTGGAATTCTATGAAGGCTAATGAACCTCCTTTCAATTTTCTAAAGCAATACAAACCCCAAACCCAAACCAAACCGACTGTCATGAGCTGATTCCAACTCTGAGACCCTGTGTAGGGTTTCCTAGGCTCTAAATCTTTACAGGAGCCGATAGCCTCATGTTTCTTCGAAAAAGTGGTTGGTAGATTTGAACTGCCAATCCTGAAGTTGGCTGTACATTGCTACCAAGCTCCTGCATAAGTATATGCATGCAGAAATCCCAGCAGAGCTCCAAAGAGAAGGACTGTTAGCTCAGTCATGTGCCCAACTGGTAAAGTGAACTGGTAAACCACAACCCACACACATCACCTCTCTTTACCCATCAGCATTCTGGTACCCAGTGGGAAATAAGTCACATGGAATACACGGGTCTTATGGATGCGGGCCTCGGGAAAATAAACTATTAAACTAAACATCTACCATCTGTTACTTCAAAGCAAGAAAATCCTTGGGAACAAAAGAAGGAAAATTATTTTTTGATGAGTAATAGTTTATGGGTGCATTTAATAGTAAGATACTTAGGAGGCTTAGAGCATTGTCCAGAGTTCTGGGCGTTTGTTTAACAACAGGTTAAACACGTGTGGGAATCCAGGATAGATAAACCCCTCAGGACCAATCAGAAGAGTAGTGATACCAGGAGGGGAAGGGGAAGGGGGGGAGAGAAAGGGGAAACTGATCACAAGGATCTACATATAACCCTCTCCCAGGGGGACAAACGACAGAAGAGTACATGAAGGGAGACAGAGGTCAGTGTAAGACATGAAAAAAATACTAATGTATACATTATCAAGGGTTCACAAGAGTGAGATGGTGGGGGAATGAGCTGATACCAAGGGCTCAAGTAAAAAGAAAATGTTTTGAAAATGATGCTGGCAACACATGTACAAATATGCTTGATACAATGGATGGATTGTAATAAGAGCTGCAAGAGCCCCCAATAAAAAAGATTTAAAAAAAAAAAGATGTGAGCTACCCTAGCAAACCTTAAGTGAGGAACTTAACTCACACCATCCCCACCCAGGACAGGGCTGTGGAGTCCCTGCAATGCCCGGCCCAGAGACCAACACAAGTGGCTAGTCAACAATGCCGGGTGAACCAAATAGGAGGGATGGGCAGTGTGTGGGAGTTCAGGATGACTGGGCCTGCCCTCTAACATCCCTTCCCTGGTTAGGAGTGCACCAGGCTGTTGAGGATAAGTCAAACATTTGCATTAAGAACGAGACACCCTGTTCTTGAAAAGTTTGCAAGCTTTTTTGTACGGATGGTCCAATTGCTCTCTACTGGCCTGGAGCACAGGAGTCAGGAACGGGAGGAGAAAATACCAAAACTCACTGTGATCAAGTCGATGTCAACTTACAGTGACCCTTATAGGGCAGGGTGGACCTGACGCCCTTGTGAGTTTCCGACTATAACTCTTTATGGGAGTAGAAAGCCCTGTCTTCCTTCCAGAGCAGCTAGTGGTTTCCATGGGCTTAGGAGACTAACTTAGGAGACTAAGGAGACTTAGGAGACTAACACGCAAACTCGATGCCATCATGTTTCCTTAGGAAACGCCAGGGCTTCAAAAGGTTCATGGGAACACTCCATTACCTTTTTATTCATGTCTCCACGAACTCTTTGAAGGCTCCTCATAGTGCCTCTATTAACAATGGTCTCCTTTGCCATGAGACCAGAACTCAACAGTGTCCACTACCACTACTGGAGGTTTTGATCAAAGATTTTACAGAAGAGCTGTGATCAAAGGCAAAAGCAATGGGAAACAGAATTACAACTTTTCATGAAACGAGATTTTCTGGAATCACTGGAGGCTAGAGGTACCACTGAAAATATTGCCCTGAAATACTTTAAATCTTCAACCCTGAAATCTTTTTAAACCCAACCATTGCTTAGTTTATTTAAGCGAAGACTGTCTTCCTTGGGCACAGCTCTTTTAAAGGATCATTTATAGAATCAAATTGACAATTGCTATTCCATAGGTTCCAGAAGCTTCTAACCCTACCTGACTGCCATTGAGTCAATGCTGACTCACTGTGACCCTACAGAACAAAGGAGAGCCACCCTGGTGGGTTTCTGAGACTGTTAATCTTCACAGGAGTAGAAAGCCTCCTCTTTCTCTCGCGGAGCAGCTGATGGTTCTGAACTACAAAACTTGAGGTTAGCACCCCGACATGAGCCCTGGGATCCGGTTAGGACACTTAGAAGTCAGTGGATTTGTTAACGGTGTAAAACAATTAGCAAAAGGAGCCTGAGAATGGTTGAATGACTTGGGAGAATATCATGTCACTGAATTGTACGTGCAGAAATCGCTGCACAGTAAATCGCTTTACTGCGTACATCTTCAATAACAAAAATATATATATTTTAATTTTTTAAGTACTAAGAACTGTGAGTTTCATCAGATCCTCAATGGAACATTCAGGTTGTATTACGTTGAGGAGGCGCCTAACTCATCCGATTTATCTTATTCTTTCACAGCTGCTGGGAAGCCGGAGAGCTGAGATGATGGAAGCAAATGGAAGTGGAGGTGCTGAAAGTCCCGGGGAAAAGCCCTATCCAGGTCTGCGGGCGCTCCTGCAGCGGCAGCCCCTGCGGGTCCCCGCCTGCCCTGAAGGGTGCCACCACCAGTGGGCACACCCACAGCGAGACGTCAGGGTCCCCTTCTCCCGCAGGCTCCACCTCGGCGACCTCCGCGGTCCTGGAGATAACAAGCTGCACGCTCTCCCAATCAAGGTCCTCAGGGGAGGGCTGAACGAGCCAAAGTCACCGTCAGAGCGTCGGTTTGACTTTAGTCCCGCCCTCCCGTCCCTGCTTCTAATAGGTCGGTTTCAAACTCGCGGCAGCCAATCAGAGCGGACGAGCGCGCGGCGCGCCGCGTTCGGTCTCTGCGCAGCCTTTGAATTAAAACTGTGGCCGAGGGATCATGGTGGGCCCCGCGCCGGGTGCCGCCGCCGCCGCCGCGGCCATCGGTGAGTGCGGCCCGAGCCCTTGTCTCTTGCAGGCGCTGGGGAGCGGGGGGAAAGAGGCTGTTGGGTGCGTCTTACGCGGGGAAAGGTGTCCGTCCGGCAGCTCGTTCGCCAGCCTGCCTCTGTCCTTCCCCCTCGATGTGTGCGGTCTAGACCCAAGCCCCCCACTCGGGTCCCACTGCCCTGGGGCCGCGGCCGGACACTGCCCTTCTCGGGGCGCTGTCTGGGCTGCAGGCGCCGAGCCCCGGGCGACGCCGGATCCCGGGAATGGGGCAGAAGCCCTTCGGGGTCCGACGCTTCCGGCACCCTCTCAAGCAGTCCCTTAGTAGCCTTGCAGAGAGATGGTCACTTGCCACCAGGTTTTTACAGAAATGGAGGCGCGCCGGCTTGCCTGGACTCACACAACCAAACGAAGCAAAGCGCACCTTCCATATGATTGGGTTCTAGGCAGCGCGCCAGGGCACCATCCTCCAGCTCTGACAGGTGCCAAGGGGTGGGGCTGGCCTGCCTCTGGCAAGCTGAACTCCCCAGGCTGCTGCAGACTGCTCGTGGTCGGCTGAAATCTGCCCCCGACAGCCAAGAACTTTGGGTGCCCTGGCCTCTGGGATGTGCCGGAAGCCCTTCTCTACTCCCAAAATCTGCCTGCTCTAATGCACGTCGTGTTCATCATTTCACTAATAATGCCTACTAGGTACTGGGCACGATACATAACAGCCCAGGAAAGCAGGCATTTCTGCCCCCGTGTATAGGCTCAGTGACAACAAGGCTTCCTAATCTATTAGAAGTCACAGAGCTGAGAATCCCACCGGGCTGTCCGACTTCTCTGCCCTGTTCTCTACACTGCCTTGCTTGGACCTAAAATGCCACATTTCTTAATGCCTTCTGATGCATGGGGATGCATCTGAGTCAGATGTCAAAATAGAGGGCAAGTTGAGATCAAGAGTAGTTTCCCTCCCTTGTACTTGTTGTTGTTTTAACCATTATTTCATATAACCTTTTCCAACAACTTCTTCCTTTCACCCAGGCCCCACCTCTGAACTTCCATGATGCTTTCTTCATCCCTCTCTTAAGGCAACTAGATTTTGCCTCATGATTATTTATGCCTTACATAAGAAATCACCATCTAACTGTTTACATGAGCCCTCTGACCTGTACGAGTTTGTCCTTAGTCCCAAAGGAAACCACTTAAAAGTTTGTGGATAAAAATCATTCCTGTTGGGAAGGAATACATAAAATAAAATCCAACATCTTAAATAGAGCAGGAGCAGAATTTCTTCTTCATGCGAAGCATAAAATGTACTAGCTGAGACCATTAGCTATTAGAGTTGGACAAAACCAATTTCAAATCTTAGCTTTGCCACATGTGAGCTGGGGAGTGCTGGGCAAGTGATTTACCCCACCAAGTTTCAGACTGTAAACTAGCTGATAGAATTGCTGGGAGGTTTCGACAAAGTAACACTCATGGGAAGGGCTGAGTAGGGGACCTGGCATGTAAGTGTGGATGTTGCTGGTATCGATATTCATTTGAAGGTGTATTTACAGGATTAGAGGGCTTGGTCAGATCATAGTTCAAAGCCAAAATTACTGAAAGAAAAGTGTCATCTTTAAGAATATCAATGACCATCTGCCATCTTAAACTTAACCTATAAATATATGTACATAGGCCTATATCCCTATCGCTATATATTAATTTATTTACATATGTTTATGCCTATGTTTATACCTCTGTAAATGTCTTTTGCCTCCTACTTCTTTCCTCTATTCCCTTTTACTTTCCTCCTGCCCCATTATCATGTTCGATGGACATTGGGCCTCTACTCAAGTCCTCACTCAACTAAAGAACACTGTGTTCTAATTACCTGGCATTCTATGATGCTCACCTTTCCAACATGCTCGCTGAAGACAAAATGGGTGCATAAGCAAATGTGGTGAAGAAAGCTGATGGTGCCCAGCTATTACAAGATATAGCATCTGGGGTCTTAAAGGCTTGAAGTTAAATAAGCGGCCATCTAGCAGGGAAGCAACAAAGCCCACATGAGAGAAGCACACCAGTCTGTGTGACCACAAGATGTAGATGGGATCAGGTTTCAGGCATCAGAAGACCAAAAACAAGCAACCATTTTGATGTGAATGAGGGGAGTCTGAGTAGAGACCCAAAGCCCATCTGTAGACAATTGGACATCTTCTCACAGAAGGGTCACAGGGAAGGGATGAGCCGGCCAGAGTTCAATATAGCACGAAGGAATCATACAACGTTCCTCAAGTTCTTTAATGCATCCTCCCTCCTCCTCACCCCCACCCACTATCATGACCCCAATTCTATCTTACAAATCTGGCTAGACTAGAGCATGTACACTGATACAGATAAGAACTCTCAACACACAGCATCCAGGACCGATAAACCCCTAAGGACCAATAATAAGAGTAGGGGAGAAAGGGGGAACAAATCAAAATGATAGATGTACAAAACCAACCCACCCCCACCCCAGGGGATGAACAGTAGAAACGTGCATGAAGGGAGACAGCGGACGGTGTAAAATATGAAAATTTAAATATTTTCTAAATTATCATGATGGTGAGGGAGGGAGGGGGAAAAAGAGGGGCTGGTATCAAGGCCTCCAGTAGGAAGAAAATTTTTTGGAAATGATGGTGGCAATCTATGTACAAATGTGCTTGATACATTTTGATGTATGGCTTGTTAGAAGAGCTGTAAGAGCCCCCAATAAGATGACTTATTAAAATTTTAAAAGCGTTGAAATAAGAATATGAATGAGCTGGGTAAAATCTCAGGCCAAAGCTCTGTTGTTTGCTTGCAGAGGAGCGGCAGAGAAAGCTGCAGGAGTACCTCGCCGCCAAGGGAAAGCTGAAGAGCCAAAACCCCAAGTAAGTCTACCCCATCGTACGGGTTTGTTGCCCTGGTTACTCATCGCAACTTAAAGCTTTTCAAAACATCCTTCTGTCGCTTTGCTTGTCGTCCACTCAGGCTGCAGTGGGCTCCTGTGATAAAAAGGGCATTTCAATCCAATCATGGCAAAATCCCAGGACAGTGCCTAATCAAGTGACAAAAGCCATGAACATGGTGATGGGCTCCAAAGGAAGGAGGGGTGACTTGCTCGGGTTGGAGGGTTCTCCCGCTCTTTTTCATCCTTAGGGAAGGGAGTCTCGTGAAAGTAGTTTGGGTCAAGGAGCTGAATGGCCCTGGTTCCACTGCTTGCTCCTCAGAGAGGAGAGCCAGTTGCCATCAGTCCTCAGTAGCAACCTGTCAGCATCTGTCAACCTGGTGGTGCTCGTCATTCCTGCCCTCAGCACATACTCTTAAGGTAGACAAAACGTGACCACTTTTATCTCTTGTTAATATTGGCATCTTATCAGTGTTACCCTGTTTCCCCGAAAGTAAGACATCCTCCGAAAATAAGACCTACTTACAGTTTTGCCTCTCGCTGAAATATAAGGCATCCCCCGGAAAATAATACCTCCCCGAAAATAAGCCGCCCCCCCCCCACACACAAGCTACCGTAACTCTAGACCGCAGCACAGCCAGAGCAGACAGGAAGTGCGAGGTCTCTTTTAAAAAACAATATAAACAATAAATATGTACCGTATTCTTCTTCATGGAAAAATAAGACATCCCCTGAAAATAAGACCTAGCGCATCTTTGGTAGCAAAAATTAACATAAGACACTGTCTTATTTTCGGGGAAACAGGGTATTTGTCTTCCTTGCTTAGTGTTAAGGTAAGTTTTCTCTCCATTTGAATTGCAAAAGCTTTATTTGGGAATTATTTTTCACAGTATTAGCTTTCCACCTTCATTTTAGTTTCTTTTTCTCCTGGGATTTTACTCATCTCTGTTGCTTTGATTCAATTAAAACAATTCCTTTTATAAAATACTCATTTAGTGTCTGCAAGAGGAGCCCTGGTAGCTCCATAGTTAAGCAACTGGGCTGCTAACCAAAAGACAGGTGGTTCAAATCCCAGCTGCCCCACTCGAAAGAGATGAGGCTTTCTGTTTCCATAAAGATGTAAAGCCTTGGGAGCCTCAGGGGCAGTTTTACCTGTTGCTAGGAGCTGGAATTTGAGGGCACACAACAACAGCCTATGATGTATCAGTCACTCTTGATGCTGTAGATATGATGATTAACAAGACCAAAAGATTCCCTCCCTTCCAGGGCTTACATTATAGATGGGAGACACAAACATCAAACAGGGTGTTTCCAGAATCCGTGTTACTCTGGCAGTTGTTTTTGATCCACAGAAATGGAATCTTGGGAGGGTGGGTTGGAAAGAGGGAACCGTTACAAGGATCTACATGTGAGCTCCTCCCTGGGGGACAAACAACAGAAAAGTGGATGAAGGGAGACGCCGGACAGTGCAAGATATGACAAAATAATAATTTATAAATTATCAAGGGTTCATGAGGGAGGG